ACATAGAGACCGCCCAGATCTTAAAAGCCGTTTGCACTAACTAACTGCTGGGATTTTTAACTGGCCAAGAGACTCAACAGAGCCTCCCCCACCCCAGTCTCAGCCAATTTTTCTGGATCCCTTTTCTTCCTTATCCCACCCTCTTTGGTCCACCTGCTACCATACACCTCAATAAACTCTTCTCATTCTGTTGTGTTGAGTGGTCCAGCTCTTACCAGATCTACTCCCAAACATTGGCATGGTGAAGTCATCAAGGGACAAGTGAGAATGAAGGACTATCCCTTCTGTTGGTGGCACAGAGGACCACAGGGACCCTGAGTCCTTGGAACAACACCCACTCTCTCTAGAAGACGGCATAATTTAAAACAACATCCCCCTTCCCATCATCCTCCCCATGCAAGGAAAGGTGTGTCGTTTACCTTCCTTTTGCAGGTGAACCTCAAGGAGGTCATTATTTGTCCAAAGGCACCCAAGGTAGTATAGAAGATAGAACTTAAGCCCAAATCTTGGTACTCCTAGCCTAGTGCTCCTCCCACTATCCACAGCAGATGAGCCCAGAATGCAAGGCTGTGTTGGGATAGCACCCTGCATACAAAATGACTTCCCAATTAGAGCTGGTCATTCCGGTGTCTAGAACGTGCAGAACACCAGGCAGCTGGAGTGGAGCTTTACGAAGACACAGGATTCCAAGTCTGTGCCCTCAGATGGCCTGTAATCGAATGAAGGAGGCAGAGTACACCCAAAGGACAGCAGTGTATGAACAAATACAGTTACCTGGGGACAGAGAGGGAGGCTCAACAAAAATGTGCGGCATTAAGTACATCATGGAAGGCTTCCTGGAGGTGGTAGCAGCCCCTTGCTTTCTTTTCTCTTTGTTCAAGTTGGACCTCAGGTGCAGAAGGTGAAGTTAATCATATTCCGCACATTATCGCTTATCATGGGTCTGTGCCAGGCCCCTCTCTTGCTTTATATGCTTTTCTCTTTGCTCCTCTCCATGCCATTCTTCTCCTTCCATAGGCACCTATTCTAACATTTAATGTGACCCATTTTTTAGTATGTGTTCTTGAAAATGTGAATTATTGATCTGTACGCTTGCATTTTAAATTTATGTAGGCAGTATGATGCAGCTCACTCTGTTTTTGGCTTTTTGTTTGTTTGTTTTTTACTTAGCGCTGTGCTAAGATTTACCGCTGTTTCTCTGGTCCAGTGCTTTCGACAGTCGCATTATCTTGTAGGTGGCATCTACCTGACTTTGCTTCTCCACTCCCCCATGATGATCACTGAGCTTGCTTCCAGTTCCCTGCACCATAAACAACACAGCAATGCACATCTTTCACACATGACCCCTTATGGATGCGTTGAGAAGTTTTGGGGACCTAGATTCGGGAGCAGAATTGCTTCTTGTGGGGGTATGTGTGGACTTAACATGACTATGGACACGGATCTCTCCCTCAGGGGCTGCTCTGGCTTCGCTCCCCCCTCAGCGCTGCCCCTAAATTCCTACAGCGGCTCCGACCCTGGGCATGAGCCAGCTTTCTAATTTTTGCCAGTCTTACCAGCATAAAGTAAGAGCCGACTGTGGTGTCAGTTCATATTCCTCAGATTAGCCATGAGTTTGGGCGTCTCTTCACTTTCCTGGTAGCCCCATGGCCCCTTACGACATCAAGTGTCCCTTTTTTCCCTTGCCGATTTGCAAGGATTCCTTGTACATCCCCGAAGAGACCGCTTTTCAACCAGCGTGAGCGTCTCTGCTCCGTAGCGGCCCACAGGGGACAGAGGAACCCATCTGGCTGTCATTCTTCACACCCTCCTCCCAGGGATATGGGCTTGGGGAGGGCCACGGGCACAATCAAAGTCCAAGGCACCCCTTCCTTCCCTCCCCTCTGCCAACCTGGACTGAGGATTGCAGGCTAGGAAGACTGGTAACAGACAAGAAGACCTGTCCCCGGTCTCCCCGGCTGCTAACCAGCTGTGTCAATTTCATGAGTTCATAAATGGTTGGAGGAGGCTTACCTGCCTGGGAAGAAATTGAGATCAGTGGTGCTTAGGCCCCACTCAATTAACCTGTGCTCCTCAGGGGGCTGCTCGGGGAGCAAGGGGCCAGCCGGTCGTTAATTCCTCGTTCTGCTGCTGGCCGTGGCTGTCTTGCCTGCCAGCGACCGGCAGGCAGGGAGAAGGTGGCCCCGCCTCAGTGAGCTGAAGTCACAGACCCCTGGCCTCGGGGGCAATGGGACCCTCGCTTCCCAATACATCCTATCTGGGTGGCCTTTAATTCCCCCCAGCCTCTCGGGGAAGAATGGCCTTTAAGATTCCCCATCCCTGACCTCTAGGGGCCTCCCTGTGCAGGGTTGCCACGTCCCTATGGTTCTCCTGCACTCCCCTCTTCCTCCTCCCTTCTGGCCCACTTGCCCCAAGGACACAGAATCCAGAGGCAGCGTTCTTGGCAGCAGATGATGCCCCAGGATCTGAGAGGTCGCCTACCTCCCCTGCTGCCTACAGCCTGAGATCCTCTCAAAGACTTTCATTCCTACGTCGTTTCCTAAAAGGGGCCAGATGGTGAGACTCAGATTCTCGGGCCCCTCCTCTGGAGATGCTGCCTTGGTCGGTCTGGAATCTCTGTTTTTTAACACCTGACTCGGGTGATCGTTACTGTCAAGATAATTTGGAAGACCCTGCTTCAGGGGACACCTTAGCACCTGGTGAAGTAAGTGTGGGAGAGACCACAGCCTAATGGCAGGGCCGGGACTGGGGCCGGGGGGCCCCACTCCCAGTGCTCTGGTGCTCTGTCTCTATCTTGCTGTGTGTGGTTAAGCCAGTCACATGTCCTCTCTGAACTTGGTTTCTTCATCTAGAAAAGAGATACTGGGCCAGATCTCTCAGAGTCCTTCCATTTCCATGGATCATTTTTCTCGAAGTAACTGGTAGGTTAAACAAACATATTGCATGATTTGTGCTTAACAAACAACTTTGATTCTTTTTTTCTCTCTTCGAGCATCCCTTTACTTTAGAATGTATTCGGTGGAAGAAATCTTCCCCTGCCCCTAGATAAAAACTTGCGCCAGTCCCACTGCGTGTCACCCACTCTGAGGTGACAGTCTGTGGTACCTCTCAGCTATGGCTACAGTCTCAACTGAGAAGTTGGAATCACTGAATAATTGACAGTGTGTGATTCTTCTCCTTTGTGCCGGCTTGGATCTGCTTCGGGCTGGAAGCCGCTGGGGCGGTGAGCCGTGTCCCTCTGCTGTCTATACTCCCCAACTCCTCCCTTCCTCCCATCACCCCCAAGAGCTCTGTTTCACGAGCTGCCAGATTGAAATGGGGAATTCTTACAGGTTAGAGAGCAGGGGAAGCTTCAAAGGGGCTCTTGCTTTTGTGGATTTTTTTTGTGGGCTCTTTTGAGGTTCCCAGCTGGGCCTCTCTCTCCTGCAACTCCCTTACCCCAGGCAAACACATCGACCCTGTCCCAGGCAGCTCCTGCAACTCCTTGCTCAGCCCCTGGGCATCTGGATGTCCAGCTCCAGCCTAGTGGACTAGGCTCTTCTCGCGCCTCCGGGTGGCCCTCCTGGACAGACTCAGGACAGCCAGCCATTTTCTGCCAGACCTGTGGCCCTCCTCCCTTTGGGGGTGGGGGGATTCGTGGCTCAGCAACAACTTGCTGAGGGAAATCTTCCGCACCAGATCTTCACCAAATTTGTGACCCATCTGTATTTTACAAAGTGGGAGAAAGGTTCCTGGATCCTGAACAGACTTTTCGACATTCCCATGCATATTCCTCTGCACATGGCTGGGGAAGAGGGACCTGTCCCAAACTCACATGTTAGTCTTCTCGTTTCTTTGGCATCTGAATCAAAACTTAGATAGGAAGAGTCCCCTCGGACATCCAGCTATCTATGACTTCCATTTTAACGAGAGTAAGAACATCTTTGAGAAAAGAAAGCCCAAGTGCCCAGAACATTCCAGACCAATCCCAGGCATTAAGGCATAGATCTAGAGGGGAGGTAAAGGCGGGGATGGGCCAGCTCTGTAGGTGAACATCTGCTTTCTCAGCTTCTCCAAGAGTTCTGCTCCTGGGACCTGCTGAACACCGACAAGTGCCAGGCCTTGAGACAAAGTGTGCCCTTTGACCTCCAGCTTCTGGCTGTGGCAGAGAACCCATCCCTGTGGAAGGTGGCTCTGTGGATCCAGTTATCAGTTGGGTTCCCTCCCCACTACAAAGACACCTAGCAGGGCCTTCTCCCCTCAGGACAATGAGCAGAGCGAAACCTCACCAGAGAGCGTCCTTCCTCTCCTCACTCTCCTACTCCCAGTATAAGGCCCAGACTCTCCTGTAGATCAGGTTGGGTGGATATTTAAAGAATTTTCATTTGAAGGGACTCCTAGGAATTAGCCTCCACTGGATTCCTAAATGTCCTGGTAGGACCCTGCGGCCCCCTCCTCCATCAGCACACCAGCGTGAACATGCTCATCCGACTGTCCTGTTGGCATGTTGTCCTGAGGGAGGTCGGGACTTTGGAGTGAGGGACAGGAATACGCGGCTGTGGGTGCTGGAATATGGACGAGCCCAGGGAAGGATGCAGAAGGGAATGGGAAAGAGGTACGTGGGGCCAGAGAAAAAAGAGAGAAAAAGCCACACAGGCAACAAGGACACGTTCGCCAGGGGATAGGCCAGAATTCTCCAGAGGCATATGAAAGAGGTAGCTCGACCCTCCTTCCCCCCATTGAGCCTCACTTCCCAGAATAGGCAGAGGCTCATGCCCAGCGTCCTGCTACCATGTTGGGCTGTGGTTTCTGGACAATGGAGGGAAGGAAACAAGGACGGGATGGGATGTGGCCTTATAAGCCTGTCCTCGGGTTCCTAGGCTGGGGGCTCAGAGACTGAGGCAGCCACGGAAGCCAACAAACAAGGCCCTTTGGGGGACATCCACTCAGTCTCGGGGTCTGTCCATCCTCTCGGCCTCCGCCTCCAGCTCTCACTGATCTTCCCCTCTCTTTTCTGGCAGGAACTGATGCCCTTGGCCATGACGCACCCCCAACCTCTGTCTGCTCAGGCGCAGCCTGCGTGACCAAGCCATTGCTGTCCCAGCTGTTTCACGTACGTGTGAGGTGCAGGCTGACCCTCTCCCCCCAGGAGAAGGTGTCTGGGCCCTGGGTGGGGAGGGGTGTTGGTGGGGAGTGAGGTCCAGAAAGTTCTGGTCACAGAGGGCAGGCCCCAGGAGTCTTGAGTTGGCAATGGGTTTGTCCTCTCTGGCTGCCTTTGGTCCCTGACTTGGCCACCGCGGAGCCCATCTGCCAGGCCCTGGGAGGGAACCTTTTGCTCCTGTCCTTAGGAAGCTCAGCAGAAGGCAGCTTTGTAGGATAGAAACTCCATGGCACTGGCCCTTGGGTCTGACTCAGACATTTGCTATCATATGACTTGAGGCAAAGCACTTAAAGGTCCGACTTTCTCTCCTGCATGTGGGGTTTTTGTGTGGTTCAGAGGCGTATCCATTATCTTTTGCTGCATGATAAACTCCCACAAACTTAGCAGCTTGACACAACACATACTGACCAGCTCACAGTGTCTGTGGGTCAGGAATCCAGGCACAGTCCGCTTGGTCCACTGTCTCAGGGTCTGTCAGTTTCATCTCGAAGCTCGACTGGGGAAGGACCTGCTTCCGCTCTCACTTCTGTGATTGTCCAGTTCCATTTAGGTCACTGGACTGAGGGCCAGAGGCCACCCCCTGTCCCTGGGCACATGGGCCTCCCAATGCGGCAACTTGCTGCATCCAAACCAGCAAGGGAAGGAGTTGGCTAGCAAGAAGGTGCTCAGAATGTTATATAATCTATTCACAGAGGTGACATCCCCTCACCTTTGCTGTGTTCTGTTGGTTAGAAGTAAGTTGCAGATGACACCCCCCCAAGGGAAGGGGAGCACACGAGGCATGACTTCCAAGAGGCAGGGCTCATTTGGGGCCGTCTTAGAGCCTGCCCATCCCAGGAGGGGATGGAAATGGAAGCACGTTGTAGACTGTAGAGTGCTCTTTAGATTCAGGCAGCTATTGTGATCATTTGTGTTTAGTTGCAAAGAGAAAATGAACCCACCTGCAATAATAGGAACCCTTGGATATAGTAATTTAAATGTTAGATTGTACCATGAGTATGGGGTCTGTAGGGAAAGTGGCTGGGACCTGAGCATTGCCCGCATGCCCTTTACGAGTGCTTTCTGGGTTCTGACTGTAAGGCCAGATTGAAGCCGACATCTAAAATGTCTGGGCCGTCCTTTTCCCCGCAAATAACTGTGTCTGAAGGATCTCTTAGAGTTCCCAAGGGGCTCTTGCATACGCGAATCTCACTTTTCCCTCACAATCATACTGGAAAGCTGAGTTTTTTGTTAAGTTTTCTTTTACAAGTGAGAAAGGAGGTCAGTCTCCAAGATGGGGTGGCTGCTAAATGGCACAGCTGGGCCTCAGACGGGCCTTCAGATGTGCGCCTCTGCCATGCCTCCCCCTATTTTCCAGGCCACTTCTGTGGAACCGCTGCATGGTACCCAAAGAGGGGAGGCCAGGCATGGAGGTCAGAAGGAGGGAGGGCTCTGTTCTTATATAGCTTCCTCATTCCCTGTATCCTAAAACAGGCTAGCATCTCAGGGGGCAAGGCCAAGACTTGCAGGTAGAGTGAGACACTGCTGCCTTCAACTCCAGGTCACTCCACGGGCCTCTCTGTCTCTCACACAGCCGTCCGTCGTGAGCGTGCAGGGCAAGCAGGGGAGAGTGACGGCATGTCGTAATGAGGGCACACACATTCTCCCAAGGCTGAGGTTCGTCTTCCCCCCACCCCATCCCCTCACAAATGCCGGGCGAATCCCTGAAGCATGGCCCACCATGCATCTGGGCAAAGTCAGTCAAATTGGATTTGAACAGCGATGCTCAGGTCTGCAAGAGGGGATGCGAGCTGAGCGGTGCAACTTTCTGCCCCCTGGTGGTGGGTCAGAGTCATCGCTGTCAGGCCGGTGGACGTGCTGTGCGGCCAGGCCCGAGGACTAGCAAACACTTCCGTGCAGCCCGCGCTGTGTGCAATGCTGCAGGGGTAGGAAGCCCTATCGGACACAGCTCCTGATCGCATGGGACTTCTCATGTACTGGAGGAGTAACGATGTTCCCACGTGAAAGCAGACAAGCATCCTACCAAGAGGGGCTTTGGAAAGTGGTCCATGGAAAGGCTTTGCTGTGGGAATCCAGAGAGAGCACGCCACGATGGGGGAGCCGCGGGGGTCTCTCAGAGTGCTGGAGGGTGGGCAGGATCTGAACAGCTGGAGAAAGCGGGCTCATGCAGCCCTTCAGGAACCCCTGTGGCCTCCGAGAGAGTTGAATGCCAATCCTTGCCTGGCTTACAGCTTCTCCCACTTGGTGCCTACCCTACCCGGCCTTTCCAGATTCCTTACAGTTCCTGCAGGCCCTCGTGGTATCTCACACACCTGGGCTGTTCAGCCTGCCCTCTCCCCTTGTCTGCTGGGCAAGCTCCCACTCAGCTTCTAGCACCCAGCTCAAGCATAACCTCTTCCCGGGAACCTTCCCCAAGTAGTTAGTCGCTCCCTCCTCTGTGTCCCCACAGCCGCTGCTCTGTGTGTCTTAGGCCATATCGTAAGGTATGTTAAGTGTCTTTTCATCACTAGGCTCTGAGCTTCTTAAGAACTGGGTCTGCCTGGTGGACAGAGGCTTCATGTAGGGGGAGAGCAGGAGGTGAGGAGGGGAGTTAAGGTGGTGGTGAGCATGCAGGCAGTGGGGCAAGGCAAAGGTGCATGGTGACGGTGAGGGGCAGATGTATCTGGCTGAAGAACAAGGTGCCCCTTCCACCAGGTGAACGCAGCAGGGCCTATGGCTTCCTGAGTGGACTGCCGCTTGCGTTCCAGCCCCGCTTGCCCTTTGAGTAATGAACAGCCTACTCTGGTGGAAGCGCTAATGGTGGGGGGGGGATGCCCACTTGGAAAGAAGGTGATAACTTAGGCTGTCACACCAGACGCCAGAGTTTGACATCCCGGAGGGACACCCGAGTGACACGTCCGTCAAGCAGCAGTGGGAGGCACAGCCGGAGGCTGACTTGGGAGGTGTGGGCTTGTCGGTGACAGAGCTCCCAGTGAAGAGGGCAGAGCGGGGGTGGGAAGAGGGGGCTTAGCGACTAATTTAACCCTTGGGGCCTTTTTCAGGGGTAACATTCTTGTTCCAATAGCTCTGTCCCTTTTATTGTCTTGCAGGTCACTGTTCCCTTTATTGAACGTAAGTGCTCACGGTCATTCTTCCTTCAAGATGCCCAGGCTCCTCCCACCCTCCTGCTCCATGGGCACGGCCAGTCTTTGTCCCCATGTGCCTGGGGAGGGGGGCTGGGAAGTCCCCATTCAGTGCCCAAGAGAGAGTGTGCCCCAGGCCAGAGCTTTACCCCCATTAGCAGGACCATTCTCTAGCCTCGCCACCACCTTCCAGGAGCCAGAATGCTGCCTGTTGCCCGCACCTTCTGGGCTCACCTTGCCCTCATCTTCCACAAGAGTTGGAAAGAGAACAGAGATGCTCCCAAAAGGAGTGTGGGTTTGAGCCAGGGCAGAACCAGGTGGAACTTTGGAGGTTCGGACCCTGTCCCCTCCACCTGAGTCCAGGGCTCAGGGGCCATTGCTGTGTGTGCCCTAGAGGACAGTGATTAAGAGCATGGCCTGTGGGGTGAGCCAGGCTGGGTAGAATCTCAGCCAAACCAACCGAAGCCGCAGTTCATCATGTGTGACACAGGGATAACTAATAACCATCCTGAAAGGCATTTTGAGGATTACCTGAGACAAGCAGGGAGAGCTTAGGGCAGTGCCAAAGACTAAGCCCCCAGGAAAGGAAGCTGTTGTCTTTGTGTCTCCGATGAGCCAAGGGGTGAGGGTGGGGGGCTGAGCAGGATGTGAGGAGAAGGAGAATGAGAGAAAGGCACAGCAAGAACCTTTGAAACTGAGCAGAAGCCGAGAGCAGAATTATGCTCTCTGTTAGCGCTCTGCTTCCCCTCTTCCCTCCCTCGGCGGTGCCCCCCCCCCTCCCCCGGCTTAGGCTGGCCCAGGCCACAGCCTCTTTCTGTCTTCAGGAAGCCCCTGGTTTCTCAGTGCCCGTGGTCCTCCTATTCCAGCTGCCCTCAGGTTCCCCCCTGCCTCCAACTGTGTAGAAAGTTCCAGGAGGCTCCCCACCCCACGCCTGGTGTGGCTGCCCCTCACCTCTCCGCACACGTCTTTGCAGAGTTTGATGGGGCATCGGGCGGATGACAGCGGGAACAGTTGTGATCACTGGCGGAATCCTAGCTACAGTCATCCTCCTCTGCATCATTGCGGTCCTGTGTTACTGTAGGCTCCAGGTCAGTCCCCAGAGGCCACCAGCAAACCACGTCCCCAATCTCGGGGCAGAAACTGGAGGCCCGCTTCGAGGGTGACAAAGCTCAAAGCCATGAAGCGTGGGAGGCTGGGAATCGGGGCTGGCCAGAAGGGAGCCATGCATCTCTCACACTCTGTACGCTTTGGGGTCCCCCGAAGAGGCCATGCTGGGAAGATATCGGGTCATTGTGTTGTGTCTCTGGCATAGCTGAGATTTCAGGAGTGCTGGGAAGGGGCACCCCTCTGGGAGACTAGGAGAAAGCTGCTCCCAGCGACCCCAGCCCTGTCCTCAATATGACACGGAGGTCCTGCCTCTCTCAACCACAGCCTGGAGTTAATGCCCTCGGAAGTAGGGGAAGGAGAAGGGAAGGTATTGGTCTGGCAAAGCTGGGAATATAGATACTGGTGGAACGTGGGTGTCTGGCGTTGAGTTTCAGTCCCAACACCAAAGAGCTCTCTGCGCAGGGTCCTCAGTGTGTGAGGGGCATGGGTGCCTTTGTCCACCCGAAGGGGAGCGTCCGGCCCTCAGGCATCCCTCCCCCCTCTCCCCTCAGTATTATTGCTGCAAGAAGAGCAGAGCCGAAGATGCAGACGACGAGGAGGAGGAGCACGACCTGCCCGCACACCCCAGAGGCCCCAGCTGCAATGCCTGCAGCTCCCAAGGCCCGGACGGCCGGGGTGGCCTGGCGCCTTTCACCAGTGAGCCCTGCGGCCAGCCGTGTGGGGTGGCGGCTGGCCACTGCACCACCTGCTCCCCATACAGCTCCCCCTTTTACATACGGACGGCTGACATGGTGCCCAATGGGGGCGGAGGCGAGAGGCTCTCCTTTGCTCCTACATACTACAAAGAAGGGGGACCTCCACCCCTCAAGTTGGCAGTGCCCCAGAGTTACCCGGTGACGTGGCCAGGCTCTGGGCGCCAGGCCTTCACCAATCCAAGGGCTATTAGTACAGACGTGTAACCCTCCTGCACCCTGACCCCTCCACATACCGACGCTGCTGTCCCCGCAGGAACAACGGGGGGCAGCAGGGGACCCCTCCAACAGCCCACAAGGACAATCTCAGTGGTTTTCTTTTGTTTTGTTTGTTTTTGGGTGGTTTTTTTTTGGCTTTTCTTGCCCCACAGTGGAATTCAAGCTGTGGAGTCACTGAGAACCAGGGCAGGCCCAGAGGTGGGGGCTGGCTGGATGAGTGGGCAGCCGTGCCTCTCTCTGTGCTGGAACGTTCCTCCCCCAGCTCCAGCCCTGCCGCCACCCCTCTTGCTTCCCCTTGCTCCCCCCAGCTTTGCTGGACTCTGAGTGGAAGAACAGCAGGGAAAGCTAAGCGAAGGCCTTCTTGGGGGGCCTCCTTGGAGGATGGAAGGAGAAAGGGGACTGAGGGCGCGGGGAGAGCTGAGAAGTAAGGCACTGCGAATCTGAGAAGGGAGAGGAAGGTGTTCAGGGGACCTCTTCAGGACCTGCTTGCTAAAACAAATCTAAGACCCAGTTCGCAAGCTAGTTTTTTTGTATGTGATGATCATGGGAACTGCAGTCCCTGTCGCTGCTCCAATATGGATATTGATTCTGGAACCTGCTATGTTCCCCTTCCTCGTGGGACACACTGAGTGGACTCGGAAGGCCATGGCCTAAGGTTATTTGTGGGGAATGCACCAAAAAGGGAAGCCTAACCTTGTCTCCCCCCAGATCCTCTTTCTCTGCCTCCGGAACCAGCTGCCCCTGCTGGAGAACCTTGTTGAAGTTTTGTTACTGAGTCTGAGCAGCTCGGTGAATGAGACCTTCTTGCTGATGGTCTCTGGGGCCCCTGTCTGCCACCCTGAGCGCTGCGTGGGGGAGCAGTGCTGCGAGGGTGCGTGTGTTCTCAGGTGGGCACAGACCTGTCACCACCCACACACGTCACACACCAGGGGCTTTGCGGCCGCGGGAGCTGCAGGGTGGAAGGGGCTCTGATGTACGGACTAGAAAGGGAAATCTGACCCTCAGACAGCGTGAGTGGAAGGTGATTAAGGTGGCTAGTCGCCTAGGAAGCAGCTGGCTGGTGCAGGGGGAGCCTGCCATCTCCTGGGGGACAGTGCTGCGGCATTGAAGCCATGTACCCCCCCTTAGAGGCCCAGCCTTCTCCTCGGGCATCCAGCCGCGTCATCGTAGAGCGGGATGACTTCATTGCACTGGGGACAGCGGCCCCCGCTCCTGGATTCCACGCTTGCCGCCTGCCCTCCGCTGCACCCCCCGGCCCCCCAGTCTCCAGTGAAGGCCTGTTACTTGCCTGAGCCCAGCCCTCCCTTCCCACTTAGAACTCCACTGTGACCCAATGCTGTTTGAGAGCGTGCACCTAATGAGTTTTCCAGTTGCTTCTACGCTAAGGGGGTGGCCGCTCCCCCTTCTAAGGACATACCTAACCCCCAGCACTTCTGAGTCACCGTGTGCTGCAGAGGGTGGGGCAGGCAAAGTGCTAGCCCCTTTGCGGAAAGCGTGATTTTGCATTTGAGAAAGGACCAGGTGCAGCTGGGAGAGAGGGGAGGAGGAGAGGATTCACCACACCTCCTGTTTCACTCTGTCTGGGCACTTGTCACCTTGCATCTCAGCTGTAATTAGGGCACACCCGGTGAAGAATCAGGGGACCTGGGTTCTGGTCACACTGAGGTCACTCGTTAGCTCTAGGATCAGTCATTTATCTTCTCTGAGACCCCATATTCTCCAGGAAAAGGAGACCTGCCCAGACGGTTCCTAAGAAACAGCCAGGACTTCCTGAAAAGATCTGCTGGCCACACTGCTTTTCCTTGCCCGAGTCCTGGGAGGGGCTAGATGCACTTGCCAATGGCCTGATCCAGTGCACGGGGATGTGTGTTGAGGACTGAGCCACCACCGTGAAATACAGGTTTAGCAGGCTCTACGATTAAAATACGATTTTAATTGTTCGGTGAAAAGCAACATGTTTGTCTGATTCTCCTCCTGGGGCATCTCAGACGGTAACAGGTCCTTATAGCAGGAGGCGGCTCTAAGCAGGGTGTCATGAGATCTGCCTCCCAGTCCAGAGGCACCAGTGTGGAACAGCAACTTTAACATGCGCCATCCCATCGCCCATCCTTCCTGGGCCAAGCACACCCCCCTTGCCATGAGCGGCTGGGTCTGACAGCCGTTGTGGCCTCCTGACGACCAGCCCCTGTGCCTTGCTGCCCGGGAATTCCACAGCCGACCAGCCACAGCAAGGGTGGTTGCTCCTCACCAAAACATAATGTCATTGTTCCTCCTGCCTTTGGAGAAATCAAGACAGCCCTGCCGGCTGTCACCTGCTTCTGGCTCTGATCTATTGGGGTCCCTGAATGAAAAGCATCTTATACAGTCCCCTGTCCTCCTGTAGTTTTCCCAGCCTAGATCTTGTCAACACATCGAAATCTGGGCTTGGGGACTCTGGAGAGATGATGGGCCACGGCTCTCCCCTACACACCCCCACAGCGTGCAGGGCACAGTCTCCGATTGCCTGTCCGCCCCCCCGTCGCAGGGAGGGCCTTACCTACCGAAGAGGAAGCTCACCCATTCAACTGCACTGCACACATCTTCTCTGCGGAGTCTGTCCCATGGGACATGTCTGGACACTTCTCAAATCGTACCCTAACAGGAAGAGAAGGAGAAGCTGGGAACAGTCTCCTGTCTGCCATCTTGTCTCCACCTCCATGTCACCGCTCCTGCTACAGATTTCCCGTCCTGCATCTTTGATAACTTGAAGTCACAACCAAGTGAATGTCCAAATAAATGAGGAATTTGAAATAGAAATCCAACAGAATCCTCTGTTATTCACCCAAGGAGGGGGGCAGCCAGGCACAGATTTAAGAGAGAATGGTCCTTTTTATTTCCCAGAATGTCCATTGTCAACACCAAAATCTACCAGCTTCTTCTCCCCTCCTGCTTCCACACCAGCAGGTCCCATCCGCCATGTTGCCTCCATCAGAGCTCATGCCCAGGGAGGATGTGTTGTTTGTTGGGAAAGGGGATGTGAAGTGTAGTTGCTGCCGCCCCTGAGGTGAAGTGGCCCAGCTCACTACAGGGAGCCTCACTGGGGAGCAGCCCGGGCTTCAGCCCTGCTCCCTGCCCCCTCACCATCCAGGCCTGTGGTGGCCCCACCTGTAGCTGTGGGTTAAGTCACCAACCCTCTGAAGCCCGAGGAGACCTGAGCAGAGCATTACACAGCCAGCCCTTACATGTTGGGAGGGGACAGTAGAGGAGTTTGGGGACCAGATCCACTCTGCCAGACCAGGAGAGGAAGGGAATGTATGTGTGAAAGGGAGCATCCAGGGAGGATGAGGATGAGGGTGGATCTGTGTGTGGGCCCATGCGTGGGTCTGAGAGACACACCCTCTGCCCGTCTCAGGGCCACTGTGAGCCCTGATTACAGCTGGGTGGGCAGTGGGCAGCTCTGCCCCTGTAGGCCTCCTGGGAGTCCCACGGGGCACAACTTCACCCTCAGCCCTGGTGGCCCTTGGCCACAGCTCTGTCACCGGTTGTCTGCTGGGAACAGAAACCCTGAAGCTGATCTCTGTCATCACCACACCCACCCCAACCTCAAGCCATCCCCTCCCCTGCGAAGTGGCTCAGGCCCACTCCACCCCCAACCTCTGTGAGGTGGGGCTGCCCCCGTATCTTCCTGCAGCCCCACGTGATGGGGTGGGGGTCACAGCCCTGGCCCCATTCTTCTCCCTGGTAACACCTGAGCGCCTTCAGCTCAGCCCCAGGCCTCAGGTCTTACTGCACCTTCCATGCCCAAATGGGTAGGGAGGGGAGGACAGGAGCAGTGATCAAGATCACAGGCCCATCACCCCAAATCCCATGGGCTTCTCTGACCAACACAGTCCTCGGTTCCCTTGACACCGTCAGCCCCATGAGCTGCATCATGCCAATCCAGATCTTCAAAACCTTACCCTGTCCCTGAGGTTTCTCCAGGGATTTCAGAGAAAAGCTGCTTCCATCCCATTTTCTAGACTCAGGTTTACAAGTGCTGCTCAGAGGTCACTGATCATTTTCAGAAAAAGAGGGCCAAACCATCAGTATCTAAGGCTGGGGGCTCCTGACGGCACAGCAGCAAGAAAAAGCATAACCAGGAGCTCCCCCCAGCCCTATACTCACAATGGAAATGGTCCACACTCCTTGAACTTCAGGCACTGACTTAGGCATGTCCCAGACAACAGTGACAAGGACAGCTAGCACCCCTTCTTCCCTCATTAGTCTGGTCCACGCTCCTCCTCTCTCCTCCCTGTTTGGCTACCTTCTCCACCTGAGCCCCCCGGCCCCAATAGCCATCCCCCCTCCACTGCCTAGCATCTCCCTCTGTGGAGAATCCAGTAGCACACAAGCTCTTAATACACACTCCTGCACCCCAGGCTTCTGGGCATCCCTTCACAGTGTGTCTCAGGGTGCCCAGCACACAGCACCCTCCAGACCACCCCCCAGCTCAGAGTCAGGAGCTAGTGACAATAAATGAGGAGGAACTCAAAAGAGAAAAATCAAGAATTGAGAATTTTAAATAAGGGCAAAAAATGGTAATATAATATGTGCCTGAGCTAGACATTGGAAGATACATAAAAAAAAAAAAAAACTAATAAAAATGCTTTTGGGAGGGAGTGGGGAATCAACGAGACAAGGGCAGAAATAAAACCTCAGTGTGTGCCTGGTTATATTATTGTGAGTTTTGTGACTCTGCATCTTGAAAAGATTTTTTTTTTCTGAGTCAGAGCATACTAACACTGTACCTGAGAATAGTGCATGCTGGGTAGTCACATGCAGCAGCGCGGGACCCCCAGGGACTCTCCCCTGGCAAAGGGCCTTCTCCATTACAGGTGTGGAACAAGTCTCTCTCCATCAGGTCAATGGCTGGAAGACCAGAGGGAAAACAATGTCAGCCAGCAGAGGTTCATATCGTATAATTTTTTTTGCAATTTTTTTTTGTTGTGGTAAAATATATACATAACAGAACATTTATAATTTTCACCATTTTGAGGTGTACGACTCAGTGGCATTAATTACATTCACAAGCTTGTGCCTCCATCACCACTGTGTCCAAAGCCCCAAACCGAACCTCTGTGACCATTCATGTTTGAATTATTTTTAACAGCTATGTTTTATCTTTGAATGAAAACCAAGCTTTCAGGGAGGGCCTGGCTGCCTGTCCAGCCAGAAGCTGGGGGCTTAGCAAACCAGTAGGAAGGCAGGGTGTTGAGGGATCCTCACTGTCCTTCT